ATGAGTAAAGCAGAAGGGGATTTCTGCCCATCCCTGCCAAATCTTTGATTGAATAAATTGGGGTCAGTCTTCCTTTCAAAATAGGGAATTGTGGACATATATATATAATTACTGTTTACTCATAAATGCTAAATTTTTAGCTATTTTTATTGAAGTATAAAAGAAATGTAAAACAATTATAAAAAACAATGAATTATATTACTTCTGTTATGAAATTTATTTGCACTCGTGCACTGTACATGCCTCACTGTAAGCCTTGTTTATTCTCTCATGTGGAGGGGGAAGACAAATTATTGTTTATAGATTTCAAAATGAATTTTAGAAAACCAAAAAATTGTCAAATTACTCTACTGGTACACATTAAATCACTAATTTATCTGGCTTTCTAATTAAGCTATATGTGGATTAAAAAAATCTCATTTCTGCTCTGTCAAGATTTTAAAATATAATTTTATATATATAACTTTCCTTTTTGCCAATTGTCAAATAGAAAGGCTTTTAGTTATATTTCTTAATAGTATAAATATGCACAATGTTGTTTTTTTGCTTAGGATTCTTCAACAAAAGGTGTCTGTGACTTGTTAGTGATATATTCAACGATGAATAAACAGCATGCATTTCACTTGTTTTCAAAATAATATATATATTCAGAATGAGTTAACGTATGTATAATAAATTCTTCAAAACTATAGATATTATGGACATATCATAAATACTATATATTTTGTTCTCTCCTTCTTGCCAAATATCCACTTAGGCCTATTCAATTACTTTGGAATTTCAGTTGACAAGTCAAATTATCTTCTCTATTTTTATCTCACTAGTATTCTCTGTGATTCTCCTACAATTGTTGCACAATTTATCGTAAGATCCTCTATTCCTTTTGTCAAAGTGCCCTCAGGCTGATTCAATTACTTTAGAACCACACTTTGATGGAATAAATTTATTTTTCTTATCTTCTTTTCTACTGTTAGTTTAACGCTAACATATTAAACATTAGTCCTATGTCAATTGTTAGGTCTATCGCTTCTGTGGTAGTTAACTTCACATCAACTTTATTCTCTTTTGCTATTATGTGTCTGCTGCTTCCTGCATGTCTCATGCTATTTGTATTTTTATCACTTAATCGTCTGTCAGACTTATGTATTTTCGATGTCAATGAATTATTAACATAGCTTCCTATAATCATCTGCTTATAACTGTTATTATAACAAAAACCAAACATTAATAAAATATTCACTCATGCAAATAAATTAATCACTAATATCTAACCCAAACAGTCTTTTTATATCATGACCTGCTCAAAGCAAAGACTTAGTCAACAGACTTTACTATTTCCAGAGAAATTTCTAGTTTCCACTTCAAGTCAATTACAAACAAATTTACATAGCTTGGAATGTGCTTTTTCAATTGGTTATAAATATGTAGTTAATAGAAGTAGGCAAGAGTAGACAAGAGGTTTCAAATGAAGGGAGTGGTGAGAGTAGTTACTGTGGTAGATTTGCTAATTATATTGATATCTTAGCAAATCAAAAATATGAGAGATTTGTGTTTTATGTTCTAGCTTGTCAGTAGCTGAAATTTGGGTTTCTAATTTGTTAACCACTTAGATGTTGTATGGTAGCTTAATACAAAATTTACTAAATAATAAGACAAGAGGATATTTAGCATTTTGTTTTTAATATTTTCTTTCGTTAAGACGATAAAACACATAATATTAAAAGTTGAATTATAAACTACATTTTTATGTCAGTTTTATTGATATACATTAATAATAAAGTTGTTTACTTAAATTTTGAAAATATCCCTTAAATGTTAAGACATGCACCTTTGGTCTGTTCATAGTGAGAGAGTTAAACATTAATTAGTAATAGTCAGAAGTTTCAATTGTTTATATATTTGATTAGTTTTTAAAAATGCATTATAGGATTTAAACAATAAATATTAATAGAATTAGAAATATGAGCTCTTTGCACATGTTTCATAACATTTAACCATTAGTTGGAAATAGGATTAGTTTGAAGTTTGAGCTGTTTTTGATGTTTGATTAGCTGTATGAACATTTTTATACAATTTATACTCTAGTTTGTTGTAGAATCAGTTGGAAGTTTGAATTTTTTAAATATTTGATCAGCTGTTTGAACATGCTTTATGCAATTTAAGCATTAACTGATAATAAAATTTGAAGTTTGGGCTGTTTGAATGTGTTTTGTAAACTTTAAACATTAAGTTGTAATAGAATCAATTAGAAATTAGTTGTTTGAACAACTTTTATATAATTTAAACCTTAGTTTTTAATAGAATTAGAAGTTTGAACTATTTTTGATATGTTATTATGTCTCTGAACATGTTTTTTGTATAATTTAAACATTAGTTAGTAGTAGTATCAGTTAGAAGTATGAGTTGTTTTTGATATTTGATTAGCTATTTTAACTTGTTTTATGCAAGTTAAACATTAATTATTAATAGAATCAGTTAAGAGTTTGAGCTGTTTGTGATATAAATATATTTTAAGTTTTATAGACCTATATCAGTCAACCTCATTGTTTTTTATAGGTTGAAGATATGGCAATTGTTATTGCAAATCCCAAAAAATCAAGCTGTCTTTAAAACATTATTAAGTCAAGGTCATCATAAAGTATTTTTATTACTAGATCAACAGTATCCAGTACCAAGTGGTGTCCTTCGTAGAGCTTTCCACAGGTGTGTTACACAGGTATTTGTAGTAGGTGCATATGCATCTAAACGTTATTGTATGTATGGCTTATAGAGCCCACACATATGGTATATTGGTATACCTGAATGTTATCAGAGGTGATTTTTCTTGAGCAGTCCATAGACTTTTTTTTTTACTATGATAAAATTAACTGGATCAAAGTATAGTATTATTTTATCTTAATTTTCTAATAGCTTTTTTAAGAGTTGAGCACAATGCATATTTATTAATATTATCATAAAATTCCTAACTTACGTTTACCAAACTGAAGTAGAAAACTTTTGAAGATTTTGATGTTATGTATGGTACAAGTTAAGCTTAAAGCATATTTATTAACTTTTGTCAAAAGCAAGATAACTAACAGATCAGAAGTAAAAATGTAAGTAATAAGTTAACGAAGTCTATCTTGTATAATAATTGAGCATAAATACTTAATGTCATAAGTTAATGAACAAGAAAAATAATTGCTCTATAATGATTAGAATGCTTTGAATCACAATTTGGGCACCTTTGTTTTTAACAATACATCTTATGAGATAAGTCTTAAATTCATATTCTGTGCTAACAATGGAATATATTTTTTATAAGTGTAAAATATAGCAATAATAATAATATTTAAAACTATTTAAAATATTGTAACCTGTGATATTGATGAATCTAAAAAAAAAAGATGAAGTGTATGGTTTTTGTTATGTATAGTTGAAACTTATATTATAAGTATGTTTGTTACACGTATTTCTATATTACTTTTCCTGCATAGTAGTGGAAAATTGTTGTAAGATTTTGATGTTATGTTCAGTGAGTTTTGCCTAATTTGTATTTGCTATAATTACCATGAAATTTTCAGACTATCTTTTCCACTCAGTATCTATGCATAATAGGAGTTTAGCTTCTAGTAAGTTAGTGTAATGCATATGTTTTAGTGAAAGTGTGATCTTTATGCTACGTATAATTGTAACTTAGACTAAAGCATAGTTTTTACTGTTATTACAAAATTCCTCAAGTGATTTTACAGAATAAAATTTCATTAGGCAGTTGGTTTGAACAGTCAACTTTATACCAAATGTACCCTACCACTATACATGTTCTCATTAATTACATCAATCAATTTTAATATTTTGTTGGAAAAAAATGTTAGTATTGTATGACAAGTTCTATTAATTATTTACAAAAATATGGCTATGTTTGTATATTTACTGGGAAACTTACCCTATCATGTACATTTGTTTGATTTTATTTCTTTTCAAAATCTATAGAAATAGTAAGTTATAAAATAAAAGATTATATGATTTTTGCTATTTGTATTATTGAAACCTTTGATATATGAAACATGTAACAGTGTCAGTTTTTACTAAAGTATGGAAGCATATTGTGCTAATATAATAATATATTGGCAAACAATGTTTTATAAGCATTTACTGAACTCAGAATAAAGCACTGATAGAATCTAAAACATTTATGCTTTCTCGTAAACTGTAAATCTTCAAATGTCATCCCCAATTTTATTCATATCATGTGTTCTACAACATTTTGACAAGTTAAAACTGTAATACAGAAAAAACAAACAAGTTTGCAGTTTTAAGAGCCACCATAATGGAAATCTGCAGAAACATTTTGAAGTTAGAACTCCAGTTTTACCAGAAATATCTGGAACTTGCTAACATGTTAGCCCCTGAAGATTGAAACAGATTCGACTGCACTAGCTGACTTAGGTCAGTCAACAGTGCAGAAAAGAATCAACCAAAACAAGAAACTCAAAGTGTGTTAGAACACCAGAAAGAAGAGGTAAAAATTACCAACCTGCTAATCTTCCTATTTCAATCTGAAGTATCTTGAGTGAACCATTAACTGGTAATCAGGTTTCTGTGTTAAATTCAGATTTAAACTTTGCTGTCAAACCTAGAACTTTACCTATGGAAAAAATGTTGCTACCATAGAATCCAACATTAACTCTTTAAATTTGAATCTCAATGAAATATAAAAACATCTGAATTAACATACACTCTAAACTTTCAACATATAAGGACATAAACCTGAAACCCAACATTAACAGCAGTGAAGTCACCACCTTAAAATAATTAAGATATAACAACAACATGTATACACTGATAGGTGACAAAAGCAGTTGTACTGTAGTTGCAGATAAAACACATTACAAAGCAGGGATCTTATTCCTTACTCAAAGGTGATTGTACCAACAAAATTATTATGAACATTATAAAAATGGTTAAAGGTTGCCCTATTCTCACTACTAACAAAACTAATTTCTCTTATCCCCACACATAATCATTCCCCCTCACTTTAAAACAATAGAAAAAACCTATAACCTAAGCACTTTAAAAAGGTGAACCTTTCTTCTTCAGGGGGTGAACTGGAAATTGTGATGAAACTGAAGGAGTGATATATAAAGGGAGTTTAGTGACATCATGAAAGTCACCTGGGCTTCCAGGAAGTGTTTCTGTATATTTAACTGTAGTGTTGTTAATTACATCTTATTCCCAGTACAACACAGGTGGAAATGACAGCATTATTTAAAAAGGTGTGAGAGATGTTTTGCTTTACAAATGGTCCAGAAAAGCTGTACTTAAGTGTTATTAAAGTAAAATAAAGGTGACACATAGAAATTGACTGAAAAAGAAATGTTAAGTGTTCAATTTCTAAAGACAGGCCTGGAAAATTATCACAGATATATAGTAAGTATTAGAAAGATTATAGGTAAACATTGAGTTTACACTATGTAAAAAAATAAAAATAATTTTTCTGACAGAGAACAAACCAATGATGAGAGATCACTGATTCCAGGATCTACATTTATTCCACAAGATTGAACAGTATTTACGTTAGCAGTCCAATAAGCTTCTTTTATCTTTCTATCAGCTTTAGTTTTCAAATTGGTTTTAATGCTGATGAGAGTAACATAGTTAATTAATTCAATTGTACTACCATTCCCCGTTTACCCCCTGAAGAAGAAAGGTCCACCTTTTGAATATGCTTGGGTTATAAGGTTTTTATATTAAGACTTCTTGAACCTACATGTTTTTCTAACATCATGAATTCCTAAAATTCACAAAAATAACATTCCTATTAGACCTGTAGTGTCCAACATATTCTCACTGGTAAAAAACATTGCTAAATTCTTAGTCAAGAGATTAAACTCACTACTTGAAACTAACCCCTATTCTATTAAAATCTCTAGACTTTGCATATAAAATCACAAACTTTCCATTAAACAAAGAAGATATTTTGGTGTCTTTCAATATAAAGTCTCTCTTTACCTCAGTACTTATGGAACAGACCTTACACTATTTAACAGAAAACTAGAACAAGATAGTTCTCTAACAGACCACCTTATCAGCCTAACAAAATACTGCATAATAAACACTTATTTTATGTACGAAAGCCAGTTTTATAAACAAAATAGTGGACTAGCAATAGGACCCCTACCCTTTTCCCCTCTACTTAGTGACCTCTATAGGTCTGTTCTAGAACTATTTGGAAATAAGTTCACATGCATCAAGAAATCTGAAATCTGGCTAAGATACATTGATGATATTTTTGTATATGGCAACATTGGAAAGATAATCTACTTTATTTCATAAAATTCTTAAACATCTTGATACCAAATTTCATAATTTTCACTCATGAAGTAGAATTTACAGCTGTCTTCTAGTTGTAGATGTTAACTTGAGAAGAGAAAATAATATAATGACCACCATTATATATAGAGGAAATCCTATGCTGTCACCAGGCTGAGTTTATTCACCACTCATACACTTTGATCTTTATCTATAATCCTGTCACCTGGTGACATCATTCCCTTTACATTAAACCATTGCATCTTTTTTCTTTGTACCTATATATATATATATATATAAACCCTGTATGCTTAGCTACAGGTCATAGCTGAAGAAGACTGGTCAATATTCTGTCAAAACATGTAGTAAGTCCCCATCCCCCCCCCCCAAACAATAACAACAAATAAGTTGCATCATTATGTTTATAAATCATTGTTTGCCAATTTATTAGTGTCATTTTTACTGCAACATTTCTCAGAACATTTTGAAAAAAGTTACAACTTCAATTTTGTTTCAACTTAGAACTCTCTCCCTACTTGCCAATTGGAGCCCTCTACTAGCTGAAGTGACATTTCTGCCCTATCTTGTTTTTCCTTTTGTGAAACTCTTTCATTCAAACCTTCTTGTTTGTTTTGAAGTAGTGGCCACTTTCCTCTGTAAGTGTATGCATTTTTTAACTTAAGATACTGTATGCTACATTTAATTGCATTTTTATTTGTTATTAGGTAAAAGTACGTTTCATCTACTGTACATATGGGGTCTTCTTCTGTGTTCTTGCAGAGTAATACTGACTTGCACATTTGCAGTACTAAGTTTTATTTCAAATGTTAAATAGCTGTATTGAAATTTTTATTGTGTTTGATAAATGTAGTTGCAGATAACTGATTTCAAAGCTACTTTATTTATTGAGGATGCTATGCTATAAGTTTACTGTTCCTCTAACTGATGTAATTATATGTTAAAAACTAAAATGTTTCTCAATGAACATAACTTTCTTTTATTTCTGTAAGCTTTCGGCTTTCAGCTGTTGCTGGAGCCTTTAGTTACATTCATGGGGAAAGTTCCTAATGTTTCTTAACATAGGATTAATCCCACAACAAGAATATAAAATCACATTTGATATTATTATACTCATTGATTGTGTTGTTTTACAAATACGTACAATTATTAGTATTACTAATAATGGTGTGTTATATCAATCTTTCTTAAAATGGTGCATTATTATTTTCATTCTTCAGTGTCTATTATTATTTGTGGTGAAAATGGTTAAAAAATCATTTTTGGTGATTGATTAAGCATAATGAACTGGTGATTGATTATTGATAATATAACTGTTATTTAATTAATGACATTACTGAATATTATTAATTTTCTTTATTTCTAAATTTTGAAAGACAACAAAAAATTTCCAGCAATCTACTGAAAACATTGTAGTGCTACAGCAGTATACTTCGTACATGCAAACAAATTGATCAGGAGAGAAAAATAAATAGACTTTCTACAACAGTGCTGAAAAAATAACATTATACCAATGGGAATCCAACATCTCATCCAACTAACAACCTGCCTACAAAGAAATCCCAAAACAATGAGTAACCAACACCATTTCCTTAAAACCATCCTATGAGATATCATAGATTCTAATTATTAAAGAAAACAACATCACCAGAAATTAATAGAAAAAAATTATTGAAAATCAGAAAAATAACAAACCTACAGTTCCAAAACTGGCTCAACTCCATTTTTTCAAAGATACAGTTAGAGAAAACCATATAAAACTTCTACCCAATGCTATGTCACTTCTGGTAAAAGGTACAAACTTTGATTTAAGTAGAAAACTTAGACTACACCCATCTAGAGATTTGAACATCACTTGAACAAGCTATATATATATAGTTTTTGCTGGAAAAAATATCATGAAACTAAAGAAAGAACAAACATCTCAAAAAACTTCACATAAAAAACTATAGAAGACACAAGTGAAATCTCTGATGATACCCTAGACAACATGTGTCTATCCTCTACCAACCAACACCCAAAAGGAGATATAAATCACCAAGAAGATAATCAGAATCACATATCAATCAGCAGTCACCTGTTTAACTAACAGAAGTATCAATTGCCAAAAACATCAACAACCACAGATCAAAAAAATCTTCCTATGGCACCAGATAAAATATATCCAAGCTACACATGAAAATCATTGAGAAAAAGATATCTTTCCAGCAGGAAAAGCAGCTATAAAAGAGCTCTGGACAAACGACAATCTAATCCTAAGGTTTTGTAGTCTTAACCAAAAACAGTTACTAAAATAAAATAGAGGAACACCTTCAAGACACTTCCATCTATGCTACATTAAACAAAAATCCAACCAAGACGGTCGAAGAAGAACCCAAAAAGATACTTAAACATCTAAAAGAAAAAGTGTTTTGCTGGAAAAATTACTAATGGAATTAAAACCATTCCATAGCCGTATACCTGTACTATATGGAGTCCCTAAAGACTATAAACAGAATTTACCTTTAAGACCCATAGTATATGACTCTGCAACAGAAACCATATTATGGTTACTTGATCAACTGTTTACACCATGTCTAAAGTATGTTCCATCACACTTAACCAATACTAAAGACCTATTAGAAAATATACACTTTTCTACACAAACGATATGCACTGACTGCATTTTATTTTCCTTAGTTGTAATCGTTTTGTACCCGTCCATACCCATAGAGGGCATAGATAGTATCATTAACTTTACATCTTCACTTGATCAACTCATTTTTCCAGTGAACATTACATTAGAAACCATCTGAACAATCTCAGTTTTGTCCTATACAGCAGTTATTTTAAATTTGGTAACACTTTGTACCAACAAGAGAAAAGAGTAGCAATGGGTAATACAGCAGCTATCACATTTGCTATAATATTCATTCATACACTAGAAACCAAGCCCTTGACACATATAGAAAAAGAAAAGGTTTAATACCAGAAGTGTGGTACAGATACATCATTACATATTTGGTATATGGAATCATGGAAAAAAACATTACAGCAGTTTTACTATTTCCAAAACAATTTCCACCCATCAATCAAGTTAACACTAAAACTATCCAACATAGAAGGATACTTAACATTTTTAGACATAGCCTAAGTATCCAAGACAGACAAATACGAAGTTCCATGCATAACAAAGAATGGAAGAAGCTGATATTTCTCCATTACAAATTACACCACCCAGAACAAGTCAGAAGGGGAAAAATAATAGGAGAATTAAAGAGAATTAAAACTGCTTCACACCGAATGTCATTCAAATCACACAAAATTACTTTAAAACACTTCTATTACGAAATGAATAATCTGAATATTACATCAACAATGTTTTGAAATTACAAAAAAAAACAAGAACATTACAACAGCAACAGACTCAAAAACAAAAAAACATACATGAAAATGCCCACACTGAGCATTCCTTTCACAAACAACACAATCAGAACCAAGATTTGTAAAGCCATTAACCTCTCCAGACGGGTCACATGCGCATCTCAGAACACGAGACCAACACAAAACCAATCTAGCAGAACACTTCCTATACAAACACGGAACCCCAAACACAGAAAACCAAAACCCATTTTAAGTTTCAATTTTACAAAAAAACAAAAATTTTAGAGAGAAAATATATGGAATCTGCACTCATTAATGAACAAAATCCAAAAATGAACAGAGTCAGTGGGCAGTACATGTAACTAAACTGCCATCATTCCATTCAAAAAACAACGCATCATACCAATACACTTGACACTATTACTTTCAGTTTAATACTTGCGTACTCTAGAGTATCACACAGCCTTGCAATTTGTTTTTAACACTGTTAGTAAACTTTGTATCCTTTCCACTTATTAATGTTTGTTATCAGCTTCTATTTTCTGTCTATGTGTTTTTTGGCTAATTATAAAACTTATTGTAGTTCTCTTTATTTTTAAATCTCATATAAAAGTAGTATATGTCGTATGTTAGCATAGCTGTATAGTTAGTAATATAACTATACTATAATATTAGAACAATAATGAAACAATAATCTATACATTATTAGATGCACATTATGGCAGACTCGAGAAATAAAACATTACAAACAGTTTTATAATTTATTGAATATTCTAATATCAAAAAGTTGTGTATATTTATGATGAAGTCACAAAAACTAAATGTTGGTTAAAATAAAAAGAATTATTTTATATATATCTGAAGTATAAAGGTCATTTTTTCTAAACTTTTTATCAAAATGTGTAAATCCCTCCAGTGTGCACTATAAATTTTGAAAGATTATTGTCTTCTTGGCCTGAAGCTTGAACTGTTATATATATATATATTTTTTTTTATGTGAATTGGTTCCCACTCCTTTTGCAGTGTGAATATTCTGGTTTTTAATATTTCAGAGGTAAATCTATGTGATTTGAATTTTACACTTTTAGAATTAAAATTAATTTCAATCAGGTACTTACCTCTTAAATACCATCCCTTGCACCTCACTACAACCAAACTTTCATCATGACTACAACTTGCAATAAAATCTAATTTATAGCAGGAAAACAGAACTTATGTAAAATCCCCTGATGCTTGTGCAATAAGTTGCATGGAAAATGGGAGAGTGAAAAATAATGGGTAAATGATGCGAGCTCTGCAGTGAGTGGAGGACAGTTGGAAATTTTTAATCCTTTCCTGGCTGCATGAGTTCAAACTCAACAAGAAAAGTTTTTCAGTATCTTAGAGATAAGTACCTGTTTGAAATTAATTTTAATCCTAAAAATGTAAAATATTACTATTAGAAATAATACATTTATAAAATTTTTTTCAAGAAATATGTTGAAAGCTTATTCTGATAAACATTTCAACATTGATGTCCTTGATGGTGATTTCAGAGCTAGTTTACTTCTGATCCAAAGCTGTTATGTTGCAAATTAGTAGTGTTTTTGTTATATACTTAAAAGTTGTAATACTGTACTACACTGCATGTAATCTGTGTTAGTGTTATTGACTCAAATTGCAATGTTATGCTGCATTGCATATTGCAAATATTGTTTTTATTGCTCCATAAGTGAAATATTATACTACAATATAGGTAACTGGTGTGAAAATTGGTGTTGCTTTCTTCCTTACCCTCCTATCAATGTACTAAATGTAGCTGAGAATGTTTTAGCTTACCATGACAGAGACCTACTACTCCATTATGTCAAACATGGAATTACTGGAGAGGTACTGTACAGAAAGATAATTTTTAGGACATAAGCAAAAATGGCTTGTAGTTTTAAATCAGAATAAACTGATCAGTTTCCATAGGATTATGTTTATTTTTAGTTTAAGTGGCTTGTAGTTTTAAATCAGAATAAACTGATCAGTTTCCATAGGATTATGTTTATTTTTAGTTTAAGTGGCTTGTAGTTTTAAATCAGAATAAACTGATCAGTTTCCATAGGATTATGTTTATTTTTAGTTTAAGTACTTATGGTAAGATTGTGGCGATCAGGTATTAGTCATTTTTATGGTTAATAGCTTATATGATCATTTAAGTCTAATTATTCATTAGATACTTTTTTTTTTCATTATTAGATACTAATTACTACCTATTTTTTATCATACATTTTAAATGCTAATCTGCTTCTGTCTTAAATGATGTCCAGAAAAGGATTTTCTTTGGTGGTAATAGCCAGTTATCTTGGGCCTTAATGATAGAGGAGAGACTGGTGTCATATCCACTCATCTGGGAATCCGGGACCTTGCCCATAATCACAGTTTTGAGTGTTTATAATATGAAATTATTAGTCTGATTGAAATTTTTCTTTTATCCTCACTAGAATTTGATTAAAGGCAGGTTAGGAGGCATGTATACTTCATACTGTAATATTATTTCACATGCTTTACTGAAGTAACCTTTCTCAGAATTTAGCAGATTTCTTTTAGAAATATCTAATCAATATTTCATTTGTGTCAGTAAAAGAAGATTATGGTTGTTAACATTGCTGAAAATTAATTATGGTTTTCCATGTGTGAACTAGGTTTACATCTGGCCTCTACTTTACACAGTGTTTTCTGAGATCGTAGAAAAAGATCAGTGGTTACAATTATGGGATCACATTTTTTCCAATCCACCATGTTTCATGTTATACTTGTCTGTAGCTTTGAATATTGTAGCGAGGAAGAGGCTAATTGTCCTTACTCATTCTGACCAGATCAAAGTAAGTTCTCTTACATTTGTCTGTAGCTTTCAGTATTTGTCCAGGAAGAGATTCATTTTATTTATTTATCCTGAGTAGATCAAAGATAGTCATGCAGTAATTTTCTCTTATCTTCATTAACATAATTGGGAAATGTAACTTCCCACCAGTTTATACCAGATTAACGATATTTGTGTTATATAACTCTTTCTAACCTTCAGCATTGTTTCTGAGATGGAAATATCTTTATTTATTCTTCCTGAAAACATCAAAATCAGTTACGTAATTTGTGTTTTCATATTGAATTTTGGTCATGTAATATTTCTGTTACTTCAAACACAACAATGCCAACTTTGATATAACTTTAAGATTTGTATTTAGAAATATTATAATTAGTCCTACTACTAGATATTTTATTAGTATTAAGCTATAAAAAAGGTATATGTACTTATCTTATTCATCAACTTGTGTTATATACTTTTGAAGTACAGTTTATGAAAAAATTTACTTGGCTTCATTACAGTTTATATTAGAAGATTGGTTTTGTATGACTAGGACATGATCACACTATTATTATATTATATTATTAATTGTACTACATCATTTTCATGGTGTCAAAGAGATCAGCTGATCTTGGAAATTAACTGCCCTATTGTATATTCAAGAAAGGGAAGCACTGTTCTGTATTTGCCATCATTCTCCATCAGTGTTTTCAGTAAAATGTTAAATCCTCATACCCATCCTGACTATATCAGTGTAAGTCATGAGGCTTACTTTGTTTTCCTTCTCAATATAAAGGAAATTAATTCATCATATAAATATCTGTAGTCTTCAACAGGGTCTCTTGTCTGGTTAGCATGCCTGGAGTGTAAATTTAGTTGAGGATTACCATTGCTGTAAAAATATGCTTTGCATTTTTGAGTGCAATATAAGAATGACAGTTAAATCCTAGTATTCTGTCAAATAAGAGTAACCCCAAAGTTGATGGTTGGTGCTGTTGAGTAAATGGCTTTCTTTTAGCCAATCAGTTACAAATGAAGAATGGCTATTCACAGGTATTCCTCTGTGTAGCTGTGCATTAACATTTTATAACAAACAATAAGATTTCATGTACCTACCCTATCTATATTGTAAGTTTTTTCTAGCTTTCAAGAATGTCTGCAAAAAGAGAGTAATTTCATTTACCTGTCATAAACTGATTGTATATATTGTAAAATCGAGTGAATAGGCATCTTTATTGATTTTGAGTTCTATTACTTTTCAAAAAGTTACAAGTTAGTTTGAGTCAGGTACTATCTGCAAATAATGGTAGTCATTGGTCAAAGAGAGATCATTATAATGGATGTAACATTTTAGAGAAAAATTCATTACGTGCATGTATAATAATGTCTTAGAATAACAGTTGAATAAGCTAAATAAACACTTCAGAAAATATGTTTAAATCAACTCTTATGATGCAACACCAAATTAGGAAGTATGTAATAGGAAATGCTTCATACGGGAAGTATAGCAGCTATAATAATGCTTTATATGTAATAAAAACTTAAGATACGTATCAACAGATTGTACATGTTAAAATTTCAGGATTTCTTTGAAAATGAAAACCTGTATCAGGTGAACACTATGATTCAAAAAGCATATTATATACAGCAGAACACACCACTAGATTTGACACCAGAGTCTATTATTCCAACAGAGTTTCTACCTTTACTAAAAGGAAACTATTCAAGGATATTCAACCCCAAAAGGAGTCTATCTATTCAGGTTTGAACAGTTACTGATATAACTGGTACTTGTATGAAAGTGGAGTAGTTAGCATGATTTAACTATGAGTTGTTTACAGCATAGATGCATGGTAAAACGATTTATATCCCTTATTCATAGTCTAATAATAGATGTAAGTATAATTTTTTTTCACATTATTACGGAAGAAATGAGTTATATTGGTTTAGGTTTCCTTATTCTTTAAAAAATTGTATAGTCATCATGATTTGTGTCAGTTTTCAACACGAGTTTTATATAATTTTTAAGATTTCTTTATTTTCAATGAAAAGTATTGAGAAGTAAGCTTGTTATTCCGACACAGTACATTACCTCTTCTCACATAAATAGCTATTCTCGTTCAGTGCTGCCCTCTATATGCCAAAAACACATTTTTTGCATGCCACCAGCCTTGAGCTCCCACGTACCTTACAATCAACTGGTTCAAATGTGTGTCACATGTAAATCATCATGCAACACCCTCCATGAAAAAGAGTGCATTACACTCTCCTGATGCATGTGATTCCCTCTATTCGATTCTACTGAACTATCACTTCTTGTTTGGCAGTACTCGTGTCAAAATGTTTTTGTAGTGCACTTCAAATTTGTTCAATTCCTTGATTTTTTGTTATTATCCCAAATTGGATTATTTTTTGTTTTTCAACAGTTAAAGAGTTTTCAGGTAACTTATTTTCCCAGTTTGTTTTTTTCTTTTTTCTCTGCATCAAACAATTGTGTTTGATTTTAATTTTTACACAAGGAATTACAAAGTTCAGGTTAGCACATCAGATATCATACCTTCTATTAGCACACTCGCAAAAAGCTACAGGTGGGAGTGACTCGTCTTTGGACTTATTGGCCATCATCTTCCGTGAGATTGATTGTTATATGAGTGAACCTGCTTCTCCTGATCTTGCCCCTATTCCTCATGAACATGATGAACCTGTTCGGGTCAACGAGAATTTTGACGGCCTTTTTCCTCCACCTGATTTTGCCTAATGTTCTCCCACTGCGGAATCAGCTAGGCTGAAAACGTTTTTAGACATGATTTCTCAGGTTTGTTCTGTTTTATCCATTTCGTATAATCCCTGTCCTTCTTTTATATATGATACCTCATCCTCTCAAAATTTAGTCCCTCCCACTTCTCCAAATATTGGGGGTTCATGCAGAGTGTTTTCTTCTCAGATGGTTGAGGGTGCCAGCATGTCTCACCTTCCATGGGCTTTGGATCAGTTTGCCTTGAGCTACCATCAAGCGCTGAATGTCCGTTTCTCAACAGTTAGAATCAGTTTTACCCGTGTGGGGGCAGACCCTGATCATCCTGTTTGTCTATCTATACGCAATTTTCCCACCTTCGTTTAACCATATCGAATCTTCTATGGTACTTGTCTACCATCCATCTCCTTTCTGAGGCGATCCACAAAGATCCTGAGAGTTTTTTGGGGGATTGCCCTTCCCTGATTTCCTCTATGTTGGCACATTTGTTTTGGCTCTAGCCATACACATGTGGTTTCTCTGTTGTTGGGATCTCCTGGGGAGGGATGCAGCTTTGTCCTAAGTTCATTTACCACCTACTTATCTCTTGTCAAGCTCATTCCCAGCCCTTACCTTTTCCTACTTGCAGGGGTTCCTCATCTCGTTGTTTTGTTTGATTCAGATCGACACAGTGACTACCCGTTGGGTTCCGGTCCAATGAGGTCTCGCTTGTCCAATTTTCTTCCCCTTTGGTGACTTTTCACCACAGATCTGTGGGTTATTTGGGTATTATCTGAGGGACTTGTCATCCATTTTCTTTCCCCTCCTCCATTATTTCAGATATCCATTTCCTTTTCATTGCCTTGGGATTCTATCACCAGTCAATATCTGTCCGAGGTGGTACAAGATCTTCTCTCCCAGCAGACCATTGAACCTGTCAATTATCCTTCTACAGGTTTTTATTCAAGGCTCTTTGTGGTACCTGGGGACTGGCAGCTGTGATTGATTTATCCAACAACAATCAATTTGTGGTTGTACCATGATTTACCATGGAGTCTTTTCTCACCCTCAGGTTGGCTTTTTCTCCAGGTTTATGGATGATCAAGGTAGATGTGACGAATGCTTACCTGCATATCTCGATATCTCATCTGTCAAGATGCTATCTTCGGGTTAGTTCATCACAGGATAGTTTATCAATTTCATGCCTTGCCCTTTGGCCTTGTATGTTTTTGTCAGATGGTCAAGGTTTTTGCCCAATAATTGCTTCTGTTAGCTCATTCTGAACAGGAGTCTGCCCATCACACTCATCTGCTGCTCCTGAAGGCAACTTGTGTAGGTTGGTTAATCAAATTGGAGAATTTATTTCTTATACCTACCTACTCATCTCAGTCGGGCCCAACCTTCTCCTGTTTGACAGAGCTTTCAGTTCTCCTCACCCTTACAGTTTGCGAGGTTCTATCGCTTTTGGGGATGTGGTCTTCCGTTGAACCCCTTATCCCCTTGAGTCAAGTGCATATGAGGTCTCTTCAGTGGACTCTACATAGTCAATGGAATCTTGTGCAGCATCTATTGGAGGTTCCTATTTCTCATGTAGGCAATCTGCATTAGTGGTTGGACAAGGCTCACATGTCGGTGGGTGTTCTACTTCTTCCCCCTCAGGGCTGTGGGTCGTTCAGCAGGAAGCTTTAAGTCGGTGGTCTCTGGCCAAAAAATCTTGTCATATCAACATCCTGGAGCTTCTGACTGTACATTGTTCTTTGGATCATTTTCTTCATCTTGTTAAGAATTGTCTGGCTATGATCCATTCCGACAATTCTACAGTGGTGGTTTATTTCAATCACCTAGGCAACACCCATTCTCATTCCCTTTGTGATTGGACCTTTGATCTTCTTTTTTGGGCCCACACACTCTGTATTTGTATCATTACATGTCTGGGTTTATTGTTGCTGATCAGCTTTTCCATCAAGACAAAGTTTATTTGATGGAGTGGTCTTGAGATCCTCTGGTTTCCAGTGGCTATGCACAGTGGGGTACTCTTCACCTGGATGCATTTGCCACATCTCTCACTACCAAATTATGTCTGTTTTGGTCTCCAGCTCCTCATCTTTTTGCTCTTGCTGTCAATGTGTTCAGTCAAGATTGGAGCAACAAGTACTTGTATGTTTATCTTCCCATCTGTCTTCTTCACAGGGTGATCTTGATCTTCCACACCACTCCGTGTAAAGTCCTTCTGATTGCTCCATAGTTCCTGCAGCTGCTCCAGCACCAATATGCCTCTCCATTACCTTTTCCTTCGTTCCTTCTACGTCAACCTCGGTCACCAGCATTTCATCCAGTCCTTCATATCCTCTGTCTCCATGCCTGGTTTTATCTGGTTCCTGCTGAACAGATCTGGTTTGGCCCAGCTGCTCGCTTCTTTTTTAGCTTGTTTCATTCACCCTTCCTCTAGGGGTGTTTATCAATGTAAATGGAACATTTTCCGATGTTGGTCTTTGAGTCAGAGGTTTTCCCCACTCAACCCACTGTTCCTCATGTTATGGATTTCTTCACTTGGCTGCTTGATTAGGGGTCTTCTGTCTCTTCGATCAAGAGTTCTCAGGCTACCTTATCCCACACTTTTCATTCTTCCAGGTACCATAAAGTTTTTACCTCTCCTACATTTTCCCTCTTGTTGCATTCCTTCCGGATTGGGATGTTAATATGGTTCTTCACTGCCTTACTTTTGAACCTCTGTCCTCATGTTTGATTTTTACATATCCCTTAAGACTTATTTCCTTCTCCTGTCAGCCTGTGGACGTTGTCGGTTTGGTTAGATGTGCTTGCCATCAATGTTTCACATATTCTATATCATTCCACATATATTCTCCTTTATCCAAAAATTCAATGGCTTGGGAGGTTAATTCCTTCTTCTCGCCAATTTCCCTTCCTTCCATTTCCCACCTTTATTCTCAGTAAGATCCAGATAAGCTACTATGTCCTATCTGTGCTCTTTATTGTTATGTTGCCCAAGTGGCTTCCTTTTGTGGTACCCATTCCTGCCTATTCATTCCATGGCAGACATTCTCTGTTCATGACCTTCCTCCTTCAACCCTGACCAATTGGGTTAAACTTTTAATTTGATTACCTTATTCTTCTTTATCGTCTTCTTCCTGTACTTTGTTCCAGGTGCCTTCTCATCCGATCAGGCACATTACATTTTCCCTGGCTTCTCATCTCTGCCATCCCTTGGAGAAAATTCTTCAATCGTGCATGTGAACTACCCCACATACGTTCATATCTCACTCTTTGCATCAGATCGCTGTGTCTTCATCTTTGGCTTATCGTCTACCACCTGTAACCATTCATCAAATTTCAGCGAGACTGTGACTGGATAAGTTACCTTATATCACTTCTTTTTCAGGGGCTTTTACCTTTTTTTTTTCACAGTCTGGATCTCACTCTGTGGTGAGAGGTGCCTGACCAGGTATGCTACTCGTAGTCAAATCAAATCCACACTGTCAGGCCATGTTGATTGCTTATTTCTAATTTCAATGGCTATTAACACACTCATGGTGAAGATGGGGTGTTCCGCAAGATCGCTTTTTTGCTTCATTAATATGCCTGTTCCGGAATGTACTCACCCCATGGACTTCAGGGGTAAAGCAGAAGGGGATATCTGCCCATTCCTACCATGCCTTTGGTTGAATAAATCAGGTATGGTCTACTTTACAAAATATAGTTTTCATGGTCGCCCGTTGCACTGTCTCTGGTGTTGTCGATCCTCCGGACTCTCTGCTGCATTCTCCCATCTTTTTCTTACAGTGGGGTATGGGAGTCTTTATCACTTTCCAGTTCTGAGCCGCTGGGGTGGTAGACCATAAAGGCATCCTCCTGTATGTGATAATGATAGATGATACATATAATGAACAAACCATTCAGTTGAGAGTAGGGTGGTGGTGTTCTGCTGGTGTAGATGATGAGATGGCCTTCAATCTGATGCTCCATATCTGTACAGGTTTATCCGAGGGGATGTGGTAGCTTTGGAATGAGCTGTCAAAATTGTAGTTCTCCTCTTCACTTGTGATCCCCCATTCTACCCTCACATGGATGTCAGTTTCCAGTGGCTGGGTTCTGTTTTCAGAACTGAACCGTATTATAGGTGTCTCTGTTTCCTCACTCAATTATACTCTTGTTCCTCCATTTGTGTTATGATTCACAGTGGTGGTACTTGCTGACTTATATGGTTCTTCCTCTTATGCTATCCCTCGATGATTTTTATATACCGAGGATGTTATTGCGCTAGGGGCAGTTCCTGTTGGATTGGTTTGGAGTGAGTTTATGTTACAGAGCATCTTTCCTGTACTGATCATCTGGAGGTCAGGTTCCCAGATTGGTCAAACAATTATCACATCACCATCACATCTCCCTTTCATCAATCCAGGCATATGAGATTCATTCTGAGGTGAAAACAGTATGATCCTCTTTCCTACCACCACCAGATGGCTGAGTTTTGGATTGTAGTTGACTTGCTTGTGATATGATCCTCTTTCACACCCCCACATGGATGTCGATTCCTGGTGGCTGGATTATGGATTGTAGTTGACTTGCTTGTGATATGATCCTCTTTCATACCCACACATGGATGTCGATTCCTGGTGGCTGGATTATGGATTGTAGTTGACTTACTGATAATATAATCCTCAACCTTCCCCCATGTGGATGTCAGTTCCCAGTGGTCTGGGTTAGGAATGCAGTTGACTTGCCATGTATGGTCCATCCCGCCCTAGCTACTCTATACCTAGGGGCACATCCTTTTACTTTCACCCACATTCCAGTACTCTTTGGGATTGACGTTTGTTATATGATGTTTGGATCCCTATCCTACCATTGTTTTCTCCCGCAGGGATGTGCTCCTTCCTTTTTTTCCGCCGATGTCTGTGACACCTTATTCCACATTGGGTGAAGAGTATACCTGGTAAAGATGTGGTGCAGTCTCCCATGTATGATCCTCTACTGTGGGAATCTCTTCTTTTAGGGTGTTCTTCAGACACTTTTGAGGAATGCTGCTTTTTTTTCCCTTGCACCTGTCCCTCCACCTATTCAATGTGGGAATCTAGCTATATATATGTGAGAAGAGGTAATATACCATATCAGAAGTTATAATTTTTCTATACTAAAAATTTCCGATAGATACCTCTTCTCTCACTTCCCACTCTTCCTCCCCACTGAAAACCAATGTTTTCATTTTCTACCAAAATTCGAAGTGATATTTTGGGAGAACCAAATAGAGGGAATCACATGCATCAGGAGTGTGTGTCACACTCTTATTGGTGGAGGGTTGTTGCATGATGATTTACATGAAAGACTTACTTGAACCAGTTGATTGTAAGGTATGTGAGAGCTCAAGGCTTATGGCATGCGAAAAAAAAGGTTTTGTAAATAGAGGGCAGCGCTGAACAAGAATAGCTATTTATGTGAAAGGAGGTAAGTATCTATCGGAAATATATTTTCAATATAAGAAAATTATAACTTTAATCTACTATATTGCAAATGTAGGTTAATCGTGTACCTCCAAATATAATGAAATGTAAATACCTTTTTATTTTTGTTTTTAAAGCAAATGTCTCGAGACACCATTCTACCTACTGGATATTCTATACAACTATAAAGTTTGCAGTGTTTGTAAGTTTCGATTTGTATAAATAAAATTTGTTTCATTATTTGCTACCTCAAACACTTGTTAATACTAAATTTTTATAGGTGTAATTATCATTTTAGAACATTTAAATTTCCCAAGTTAACATAAACTAATGTCTCACAACTAACTGTTTAAACATGTAGCTTGATAAGCAAGACAGAAACAAGCATCTATTACTTGTTAAAGATTTATGTAACAGAGCATCATATATTTATTTATTGGTTACAGTTCTGTTGATGGTTCTTCTAGATGAATTCTTAATTATTTAAAAATAGTAAGCTTCCCAGTGTCTCAACAGAGCAGCATAAGTCTGTAGGCTTATAACAATAAAAACTGGGTTTTAATACCCACTGGGCACAGCACAGCTAGCCCATTGTATAGCTTTGTGCTTAACAATGAACAGAAAGAGAAACAGTAAATTAAAAATTTTGAAAAAAATTTAAGCATTAAAATAAACAGTGAAGAGAAGTATGCTTTAGCACTAACTTAACCGTTCACCATTTCGTATGCCATACATGAACTTTATTGATGCAACATCAAATTAGGAAATATGGAAATATCAATACACTGTCATAATATATAACTAATGCTTTGGTCCAGTATGCTTTTATATAGAAATTGGGATGTAAAGTGATGATGGCCTGCTGTCATGGTCTTTGATTTCAAGAATTCAACACATCTATGCAAAGGAAGGTGATTCAAAGTTCTGTCTCTGAACATGAAATTCCATAGGTACCCCAAACAAAGTCATTGACAAGTTTCCTTGCTAGTGTTTCTGCTTCCTAGTTTGGAACTTCTTATGTTTCTGGCCATTTGGTGAAATAGTTCATCATCACCCAGATGTATTTATTCACATTGTTGCTCGTTCGTATATTATCAACTACATAAAGATCAACCCTCTCAAGAGGGTGCTCCAACATATTACTGCTGTAAATGGCATGGGTAATTTCATTCACATCACAGTTTACTCAATTCTTTACATATTTCTAGCATCCTATCCAGTAGAACAATTTTCTCATTCTCTCCAATGTCTTCTTAACACATAACTGTCCAGTTGTTGGAAGGTTGTGGAGGTGTTTGGTTGCTTCTGATTAGAATGAACATGAAAGTATCAGCTGAGGCTGTGATTTCTGTCCTCTGATATTTTTCCTCTGCACTCAGAACATCTGTGTCTTTGGTCTGTATTGATTCCCTCTCTACCATGAAGGACATTTTACATCATTTTTGATTGCCTGAACAATCATTTTAAGTTTTGTAAGTTGTCTGAGCATTGTGCAATTGAGTGTTGAACAAGATTCATTATTATCATGGGTCTGCTCTGCTGCACTTTAAGTTGGTTATCTTTTATTATTTTGTATTCCCCTCTTTTCACAGTGTTTACATTTTTTGATAATGTATGGTCTTCAAGGTAAAGTATCAGCATTATCAACACTTCCTCTGGCCAACAACAATACAAGCATCTTAATTAACTGTTTGCAAGTCACTACCTTTTATGGAATTTTATTCAAATTTTAACAAAATAACCTTATTATCAACATATATCAATAAACTTGGCATCAAAACATAATATATAAATTTGAATTATAAACTATCTAAAATTTAATTTCTTAATTTCAAAGGAAGTATTTAAATTCTCGATATTCACTTCTCTGAGTCACTTGATATGTCTGTGCTCTGAATTCCCCATTGTAGATTTTCTTTATACCCTTGTATTAATTTCAGAGTTTCCAATTAACTAGAAACACATACTATAGATAATAACAAGCCAGAATATAAAGTTTGAATTTTAAATCTTCATACTTTACTGAGATATCACTATATTTATCAAGTGTATATGACACGTCCTCACATATGTCTTTCAAGACATGTTTATAACCAATAAAAAACATGTTTGCCTTTACAAGATTCATTATATGGTTCATTCATTTTGGTGGCCGGAAGTAAGTCAGTTTCGTGATATTTATTGTGTGATGCCATTGTTGTTTATAGTGTACAAAAGTATTTTTATTCTAGATTATGGAGGTTTAAGACTTAATGTGTGTGTGTGTTGTATGTATGTCTATATATGTAAAATTTCATTCGAGGACAGAGAACCTAAGTGCTGGTCAGTAGTCTTTGCATGCTAAACATATAAGAATAAAGTTTTTATTACGAAAATCTTTGACAGCTTCTCAGGTAAAACACCCCATGGAACAGCTCAAAATATAAAATAACAATGCTAGACAGTTTTAAATATAAAATAACTGATAGTTTCATGGGGCCTATCTTAAAAATGCAGAACTACTTGTCATTTTCACATAAAACACTGTGGAACAGTTGACAATATAAGATAATGAAGGATCATGGATACCAAGTGATAAAAGCAGAACTGTTAAACAACTTTACATAAAACACCTGTGGAACAGTGGATTGTAAAAAAACAACAAATTCTCACAGAGCTCAGTGGATAAACCCAGAATTACTGAACAACTTAACATCAAATAAGTACTGAAACATGTAAAGTTATACACAAAGCCTCAAGAAACCAACTCATAAATACAGAACCATAAACTGATTTATCAAAACACTTTGTGGAACAGTTGAAAATACAAAGTAACTAGAATTTTCAAGGGATCAACCCATGAACACAAAATTGCTGGACTGCTTCATTAAAATATCTTGTGGAAAGTATAAAATAACTGTAAATCTCATGGTGATAAACTGATAAACACATAACTACTAGATAGGTACATATAAGATGTTTTGAAAAAGTTCAACGTATAGAATTACTTGTAGATGTATGGGGATCAACTGAAAAACACAGAACTATTGGACAGTTTCATATCAAACACCTTGAGGAACAAGGTAAACTATCAGATAAATAGAATTATCATTAGTATGAACTGATAAACTCAGATTTACTGTACATTTTTATATAAAATACTTTGTGGAACACTTTAAAATTTGAAATAACTTTTAGTTTGATGTAGATCAATTACTTAACAAAAAAAGTGCCTCACAACTTCATATGAATCACATCGTGGAATGGTATAAAAATAATATAACTTGAACTCTCATGGATACCACCTGAAAATTAGAGAATTATTTAACAGCTTCACATAAAAACCCTCGTGGAACAGTTGCAAATATAAAGTAACTAAAATTCTCATGGGGATTAACTGATAAACACAAAACTACTAGACAACTTTGCAGTTGAAAATATTTAATTAATGGAAATTGCATAACTTGCGGCATAAGACTGAGTGATAAACACAGAATTACTGTAAATTATTGTACAGTTTCACATAAAACACCTTGTGGAACATTTGAAACTGTAAAATAGCTAGAGTTCTCATGGATAAGCACATGAAAATTGGACAGCTTCAGATAAAACACTTTGTGGAACCATCGAAAATATGAAATAACAAGAAGTCTAATGGAGACCACTGATAATCACAGAACTGGTAGAAACCTTGAAGTATAAAGCACCTTGTGTGAAAGTTAAAACTTTAAAGTAAGTAGAATTCACAAGGGAACCAACTAATGAACAGTATTACTAGATTGCTTCATATAAAACTTGATGTTTCTCAGTTGAAAATATTAAGCAAGTAGTAGTGATGGTTACCAACTGATAAACACATAATTACTGGACAGCTTCACATAAAACACCTTGTGGAATATGCAAAGAATAAAATAACTGGAATTCTCATAGGGACCAACTGATAAGTAAAGAATTATTGGTAAGTTTTACATAAAAGACCTTGTGGAACAGTTCAGAATTTGAAATTACTTGTAGTTTTATGGAGGTAAACTGTTCACCACAGAAGTGCTGGACAGTGTTACATAAAATGCCTTTTGGAACAGTTCAAGTATCTGGAATTCAACCAAGTAATAAATACAAAACTACATGGTTGCTTTGCATAAAACACCTTGTGGAACTATTGAAAATGTAAAATAAATGGAAGTCTTACAGGGACTAATTGATAACATAGAATTACTGGATAAATCACATAAAATACCTCGTGGAACTTTTTATAATTTAGGATAACTGGAATTCTTGCCAGGACTGACTCATAAACATGGAACTGCTGGACAGCTTCATGTAAAACACATATAGAACAATAAGTGCAATATTAAAATAAACTTTATTGCACAGTTGTAGGAGAATACAGACTTCTAAGAGGTAATTCATTAGAAAAAGACATAACGGTATGCATAAGAATGAGATCTTTGTCAACGTGTATGTTACAGTCAATTACTGATCCATGAGTGACCATGGTTAATGTTGTTGTAATGTTACCTATCATCCTGTTTATTTACATTTATTTATTAAGTAAGAGGAATATTAATTAAATCATCATATAATAACTGATGGGGAAGCTTAACCAGATATCTGAAGAGCAAAAAAAAACAACTGATTTTAATAATAATGTTTCTATATTCATTCTATTCTAGAAGTTATTGTTAAATTGTATGTGTTACATTAAATTTGTTTATTATATTACATGTCTAATAAAAGTGTGTTTGTTTAGCTGAAAAATCACATACAATGAGGGAAAGATTGTTTATCACTTTTAGAACCATGAAAAGTACTGCTTACTGGAATGTTCAAGAAAAATCACAATGTTTGAATCTTAATGTGAGACCGCTGGCAACAAAAATACTGGCATAAGTTCCTTTTGTTTGTCCAACATTGTTTGTTAAGACAGTGTGGTACATTTAGTTCCTGTGCCACACATTATTTTTGGTGATTGTACTAATGTAATTTTCTTAATCTTCCTTTCTTTTCTAACATTTTACTGCTAGTTGTTTTTTGGTGTTTTCACTTTTGCTTTTCCTCTGTTTGAAAATCATGTGGATCAACAAGAGAAGAAATTTGGTATATTCCTATCTATTTTTAGGTCTGACACAGAACTAGTTCATTTCACAATCTTAGCTTTTCTACCACATTAGGATACTGTGTACGTAAATATTTATCAAAGTTTAAAAATGATTGAGGAAAAGGAAATTGACTAGTCATCTATGATCGTTTATGTGTTACTGCTATAGGTAATTTT